TCTACTGCTGATACAGTGCTGCTGAATATGGTGGGGGGGGGGTGGGGAAAGGGGGGGCAGCTGCTCAACCTCCCGTCAGTAGGTCAATCTGTCACCGTCTTGGATGAGATCGATGACCATTGTGTCATCTGCAAACTTCAGGATGTTTGTTTTAGACTACACTGTGGTTGATGCCTGATGGTTCGGCATGTTGTGTTTTCTTGCAATACTTATAGAAGAGAAAGACAGAAGTTATTTGAGAAACTTTGAGATATGGATCTCTCCTCTTTTTCTTTCAAGCCAGAAAAGAATTTCCATCTCATTGTGAGGGCAGTCTTAAAGTGTTCCACCAGCCTGTATGAAAGACTTTAAACAAGCTATTCTTCGCCTGATAGAAATGTTTTCTTTTTCTTTTCCTGTGGAGGGCAGTATTACACCTCATGGTGTACATCCTGCCAGAAATCTATTAGATAACTTTCATTGCAGGCTAAATGTATCAGATTTGATGCAATTACATTTGGGTTCCCACAAATTAAAAACATTAAGGCAAGTGTTTCCTATCAAACAGTTTTCCTCGACAAGTTAGACTCAAAGAGCTTTAATCTCGTAACCATAAGCATTTTAATTTTAAAGATGCATAACTGCACATGTAGCCTAACACCAACTACAACTGTACTGCAAAGCTGCATCCTGTTCCACAAAAATCACGATCGCCACACTCTGATGCAATTGACGTCCAAAAAAGAATCTAAATCAGCCAAGCATGTTAAACACACTCGAGTACAGGTTCTCACTGTGCTTTGTAAGGCAACAGGAATTAAAAAATAAAAATAGAAATGTTTGTATTCAAAATAGGAAGTATGTGAAAAGTATATAAAGAGAATGTATAAATATATCTTTGCAAAACAATGTGAAATCAACTGTACTCTCAATTTGTTTTCATAAACCTGTGATACTGTAACTGTGCAAGCTGTTAGAATAGTTACAAACCTGTCACAACCACAGCAACTGTATTTAGGTCAGGTTTATTTCAGTTTCACAACAAGCTCCAGCAACACAATTAAACATTTAAATTAAAATTTTACCTTTCACATAAGTTTAGCTTTGTTCTCTTCTTAGGTGACTGATGATTACAGAGAAAATGTAGGCAGACTAGGTCCTTCTTTCACATGACAGAGTAAACATGCACGTCACCATGTCACCAGGAACAGTCTCTGGGGACAGGTCGGGACTGCAGGCAGGCCAGTCCAGCACTCGGACCCTTTTCCTCTGCAGCAAGGCCTTGGTAATGTGCACAGTATGAGGCTTTGCCTCGTCTCCGTACAGTACATACACTAAAGCTATGTCACATCTGGGCAGCCATTTAAGTTCCACCCAGCTGGTAAAGGCAAATAAATGTATGTTAAATTAATCCACTTCTATCCAACTTAAATTATAAAATATCTAACATTTCTCATTACGGAAAATATTCCAGAAGCAAAGACTTGACAACATGGCGGATTTATTAATGAAATGTTGTTTTAAACTGTTAGAATCATTGAAGTGTGGGCGCTGTATTTCTGCAGAGATTTTAACAACTGTTATTTATTTTCTACTTTGTCTAGACTGATTGCGTGTTGAACGCCCAGAGTAAAGGTGGGAAGGTATGACCGGTCTTAACTAATGATTATTACATATAGATTACTGGCTGGTTTCTGAGTGGGAGAAGAAAATGTAGAGCCACTCATTCACTACATTCACATGGGCTGCATCAGATATTTAGCATAAATTAGCAACTTATGAGTATAAAGTACTATATCTACAGATAGATAATGCTATTTACCAAAGATATAAGCAACGGCTGAGAAATATGAAAGAAACATTGATAAGACTAATCGTTGAGGAAAACATTTAGATTGCATGATTTTCTTTATTATATGAGCACGTTTTTGAAAGTGTAGTCTCCTTTTCCGCATATATCATCAACTTTTGATATTCTAACTGAATAAAAATAAGCAAAAGAATACTTTTCCACCCCCAGCTGATCCAGTGACACTAATAGAAATATAACATTTCCTGAGCGAGGCTGGGGGTGGATGGAGACTTAACACAAGAGAAAGAGAGACAATGAGATTATAAGACGTGAGAATAAAAAGCCGTAGAACGCTAGAGAGTGTGACAGAGGGGGAATGGAAGTCAGCAGCAAGAAGAGATGTGCTGGCACTGTGAGCAAAATCAGTTCATTGGAGAGTTAGAAATGTGAGTCACCGTGGGCCTAAAACAGAATCATCATCCTAACCAGTGGAAGGTGTGGGAGGACTCGCTCTCATTAGTGACAGAGCTACAGTGCTGGGTTCAGCAACAGAAAGATGAAGTGCAGGAGAAGACTGAGAAGTCTGTCTAATAAACCACAAAAATATTCTCCTTGTGGCTACAAAGTGCAGGATCAGATGACAAATGGAGAAATCCAGATAAATACACATCATTAGGTCTGACACTGGGTCACAGCTTCTACACAGAGGAGCTTATGTCTGTACTGTTTCTTGAAGAAGGATGAAGAAAGATGCAAAGTAAAAAACAAACACTGATCGTTCAAAATGTGCTGTAATGTTAAACAATTCTTAACAGAACAAACATAACCTCAAATTTGACAGTAAAAGGATGGCAACCCATTTCAGAATTGATAGTTTATATAAAGAGTAATAGAAAACAGGACTAATAGTCCAATGTGTGCTCAGATTTGTCACTGTATTATAGCACATATACAGTGATATCACTGGTATTGGTTGAACTAGTAGACATAAAACCAAATTATAATTTGATACATAATTGAATGATATGGCACACAAGTATGTGAAAATACTTCCGAGTCATATTGTTTGTGTGGAAACTTTGCACAACCGAGCTACTCTCAGCCTGCTTTTCAAACATTTCTGGAGTTTCTGGGAGAAATAATCTTACTGAAACAAACATGTGTTAGTAGTAACTTAGCAACAAGATATCAGAAAGTTTGTTTTCCAGTTTAAAATACTCTCACAGAACCAGCTGCAATCAAGACCACAGTAAAAACTCAGTGTCACTAAAAATGAAGGACTTGGCACAAATATTTGAGAGTAAATACAATACAGAGGATAATAATGTAAGACAACATAACTGAGTTATCTGTTAAGCAAAATCTAATGAACGAAAAAAAAAATAGCACAGACCAGAGAGACAAAGTGCAGATTCACATTTAAAGGTAGCAACCAGTGATTCCCTCACTTTCACCAGACTGAGCATTATCTAAATATATGAACAATAGCAACATTAGCTTACATATATTTTGCTGCTATTTAAAAAGGCACATCAGTCTTGGAGGCTGATGTGCGGGCATCTTCTGTAATGTATAATATACCTTCAACTACATAAGCTTTGCAATTAGAGATGGTTTTGTCAGCTGTTTATGTCCAGCATTATACATATCAAATGGTCAGTTGTGATTTGTGAAGAATTTCACCCAGTTACAATCAAAGAAGCCAAGATACCGACGCCTTAATCATTGGGTTTCTTACTTTGAAGTCTATTGTGTTAATGACAAAGAATATAAAGAAAAAAACAGACTACATAATGAATAAGAGGACTAGTTCACCCTTTCAGCTAACTGCCTATCTTAGATCCAAACTCAATAAAATCAAGGTGACCCATCAAAAACAAATGTGCATGGCATGTGGGGTAAGAAACTCGCAGTAATCTCGTCAGTACTGACTACAGGATCATTTCTGACCGTTTCCCCCTTTGAAGAAAACAAATCATTACAACTTAGGATAGAACTTAGAAGTTGGCCACTGTGCAAAGAGCCTGACATACACACCACAAAACAGAATTTACATGGTAATATTATTTGATGCCGAACACTTCAAGCAGGTTGATAAAGCTCAACTGTCAGTAGCTCATTTTTATATTCACTAATGTCTAAAATCCAGGAAATAACATGTATGAACTCAGAAAATTTCACATCCATCAGCCTACAATTCTGTACATATACATAAACATGGCTTGTCAGATATAAAATATTTAGAAAACTGTGCATATTTCAAGATCATATACATCATAAACTGTACAAAATAGATGCAAAACTACATAAAAGCATTCATTGCCTGCTACTGTGGAGCTGTGTTGTATCTCTACGTGTGCACATCCTTTGTGCTCCACAGCAGAACTGGGGCTCATACAGTAAAGTAAAAAGGCTTGAGGTTCTTATTATAGCAAACAAACAAACAAACAAACAAAAAAACTAAAATTAAAGGGTCCAGACCTCTGATAGAGTGAATGCTCAAGCTGGAAACCTAGGAACACTGGTGGAGTACTGTGATAAAGCAATAAGCATCTTAATGCTAATCATACAATAACAAACAAACTATATCTGAAGAAACTATTTTTTGCCTCATTGGCAACTGATTTCAGGCTACGCAGAGAGAGAAGCTCACTTACTGTTTATAAGCAGGGTCAGAATGACCTGATAAACAGTCAGTGTTGTCTTTGACTGCTGTGTCTAATACAGTTAAACATAACAGACAATGTATGACGACAGGGTGTTATATTGACCCACTGTCAACTCAGACAAGAAAAAAGGAAACTCTTCTTTCAATAATATAACATTTGATAGAGCATAATATAATACTTCTAATAATACTTTATGTAAATCAATACAATAAAGATTCAGTGCAGTAACGGACTAATTTGTTTGGGCCCTGCAAATCCGATTATAACACTAATGAGGAAAATGAAACCCTACTAAAATATGGAACACATCTAAGGTATTACATTCAGACACTGCAGGCTGTTCAGACATCTGGAAATTGATTACAGAAAATAATTCAGAATAAAAAGCAACAAAATGTGGAATGACATACAGGAACCGTCTAGTGGTCCACATATGGCCCCAGTCTTTGCCCAGGTGATTTCTATGGGGTGAATGTGACTGATGAATTGTTCTTATAGTTTCCACTCCTGTCCACACAGATGCTGTCTGGATGAAGATGGAGCAGACTAAACACATAGGCTGGATGAAGATGGAGCAGACTAAACACCAGAAATTGGCAACATGCCTCCTCTCGTCCAGCTGAAAAGGAAGCTCTTGATCCAGTAACACACCACAGCCGGGCGGTGTTAAAGCAAATATGAGTGAAAAAGTGATACACACACACAGTTAAGCTGAGTAAGTGAAGCAATATGGTTCTATTTTTTAAAAAGAAAAAACAGTTAGATGATCCAGGAGAGGTGGGGCTGAATGTGAGATGTACTGAACGGACAGTTGCAGTCTCCAGTGCTGACACAAAAACAGAGGAATGGAATCTTGAGGTCAGACACTGACCAGTGATCTGGTGACAACAGGCGATACGCGCATGCACAGAGGAGTGAGACCACATGGGCTCTGATCTGACCGTTCTGACAGCGTTTACATAGCCAGAGATGGAATATGAATTGGATCTAGGACCACGTAGTTAAGTGGCCCAGATTTGATCTGAAAAAATCTGATTTATACTTCAGCAGGTAATGTGAACAAAGCTTAAGGCTTGTTTTCACCAAATATTAGGTTCTGATTTTAATTCTGCTGCAGCTGCATTCCAGGCATCAGTAGTCAAGGATAGAGTGATGGATTCAAACATTTCCGCTGCAGCAGAAGTTGTGATCAAGCCAACTGTGCATCCAGGTGCATTTACATTGAAACTAGACGAGACTAGAGTAATGGATCCAGGAGTAGTTAACCGATTCCTGCATGATGTCCACTGCTCATGGAAATCAGCAATAATCAGCACAAAGGCATCGCCAGACGAACCCAGAATGATGAAGATGGACACCACCAGTCAGTCCCAGAGTTCACAGGTCCAGTCATTACCAGCTGAACAGTGAGTTCTGTCCAAGAGTCATAAAGTAAATCTGACTGCTGCCTCCTGACTGCACTGAGGCGAAAAACACCTGCAACAAGACAGACTCAGTTTTAGGAACAATGTTCAAACTGTTCCCATAAACACAGCATACTGTGGCTGCAAGTGTCTGAAGTTAGGTTTGTTCCAAACTACACAGAGTCGGTGACGTAAATCTTACTAAACATGTTTTTGACTAAATATTCTTACCTTAAAGTCAACTTAACAGACTTCTTAGAGGACTTTCAGCCATACTGGCCATTTGGCCTTACAAGGTAACAAACAAACAAAATCCACCCACCAAGGAGGGCAGAGATGTGGAGATGTGACTGAAACCTCCAGAAGAAATCTAGTAGGTGGACTTTGAGTCAAAACTTTTTTGGTCAGACTATTATTTCTAAGATCAAGAATCACTGACAGTATTTCTTCCTATTTGTTATGAATGACAGGAACATCCAATTTAGTAAATATATTTACATATTTAAAATTACACACTTTGCCCTTCTAAACATTGAAGTCAAACCTTTTTTAACTAGTAAACTACTAAAATATGGTATTTATTCTTTTGGCTGCACTTTACAGCGTCGATCATGCTAAGCTGACCAAGCTTGACGTTATTTAATATTAGTACTACTGATACCAAGGTTTACTGAGCTTAGGGCTTTTAATACTTTATCATATTTGAAGATGTTGCATTTAGATGACAAGTCAGCTGATTAAGAAGGTGTTTGAGTGAAAACACTGATCTGTGCATTATAGTTTTAGGTGGTTACTAAGTGTAAGTAGAGTTCCTACAGTACCTTGTCATTCCTTTCACAAAGAAACTTGAGTTTCTGGGCCTTTTTGTGCATAAAAACCCCCTCCAGATTCCCTGTGTTGGCAGACCTCAGTTCAATGGCCTTTTCTCCCCAGCCCATCAACTGGTTAGACTGGAGGTAGGCTGGAGAGAGAAATACGGACAGACAATGAGAGAAACATAACAAGGATACTGTAGCTACAACCTGAGCTGTGTTTGTATGAGGGATGAATTTGCCACAGACTGTCTATCTAGAATACTGACATATCTACTGGGCACAACACACACAGTGAATCATGGCCATTTTATATTTAGCCTCTCCTGTCAAAAAATCTGGTTCTGGCATAGAATCTGGTTCAGGGTTGACGTTGCTCACGACAGCTGCTGATCCAGAATCATTAGGTCAGACAGTGAGCTGCTACACTGATATTCTGCATTAAATGAAAAGTACCATCCAATTGCTGAAATATCTCAATATGGAAACTGGACTCTTTATGAGCTGAGAAACAGGTGACTCCACATAGACGCACTGTGTACCCTCTAATGATTTTGTGTGTTGGCGGTCGGTGCACTAATATGTGTGGTCCTCATGTCCATGTGTATGTGAATCAGCTTACCGACTGATGCAGGCATCTCTCCCCACTGCAGCACCGTATCCTTGGTGATGCGGCCATAGGTGTCAATGTAGACGCCCTCGTCTTCGTAGCAAACCAGAACCTCTGTTCCTGCGCTGTTTGGCAAAATGATAATGGCATGGGGACGGATGGAACCCTGGATCTGTGAAACACACATAAAAACACAATTCATTAAAAAAAACAACAACCAACAAACTAAAACTGTTCAACGTATGGACACCTGTGCATTAAACGTAAAGGCACACTTGAAAGTGCCTGAGAGTCGACTGTCAGTACTCTCTGTTGATATATAGATCATCTGACAACAGCTTTCACTTGCAGAACAAAAGAACAAGGTTCAGTTCTGAGGTCAGTACCATTACAACCTGCCAAAGCCGAGAAACTCAAAGGGCTACCAAGCATACAAAAAAAATAAATAAATGGAAGCTTTAGGAAAAGAAACAAACAGGTTAGAGACACAGATGGAAATATTCTAAAAGGCAGAGAGATGCTCTGAGTAATGAGTGATATGCCCGTTTCAGAAATGAAATCTCATAAAACTGCTTCTACTCAGCTGAGAAGTATGTATCTGAGCAGTCCAAAAACATTTTTTATCAGGTCAGAAACAATTAGTGAACCCATTTAAGAATAATTTTTAGCCATTTCAGAAAATTCTTCTCCAACACAAAAAACCTGGAAACAGGAAAGCAAACAAAAATCATTCACCTACAAGTTCAGCAATATATTTCTGTATTTAGCTAAACATCTACCTAACAAACAGTACATCAACAGTTGTCTAACTGCAAACCAGCAGTGTTTCTCCTAGAACTAATACTATCATCAGTTAAAGAAGTTTGCCAGTATTCGATGCTATGTTACAAAAAGTATGTAAATATAGCTTATATCAGCGTATTTCATACGTTACCAGAGTGTGAGCCACCACAATCCTGAGCATCAGAACAGGCATCCACAAACGCAACGCAATCTTAATCCTCTGCCTTGGAATCAGCATTGTCACATATTTTGCCAGCAGCAATGGGAGATACTCATGTGTGTGTGTTTCTTAAAGTGAACGAGTGGTGCAGTGTGTGTGGGTTAGGCTTAAGTTTGTGAATAGGTGAACTGTTTTTGACAGTGATGAAGACAAAAGAAATCAGTGTTGTGTGTGGATGTGCTTTACTGTTTATACAGCTGGGTGTGTGTGGGAAGACGAGCAGAAGAGGTGTGTGTAAATGTGTGTGTATCAGAGTGCAGTAACATGAAGGAGGAGCGTGAAGTGTCCTCAAGAGTACTTAAAGAATGTGAACTATGAACATGTTGAAGTGTAAGCCAGTAGGTTTAAAAGCACTGTGTAATGAGTGTGCATGCAAGAGAAAGCGCTGAAAGTATGACTGTATGTGTTAAGAGAGAAGAAGAAGGAAGCAGAAAGAGCAAGGCTGGAGCGCTGTAATGATACCGAAGCAGCAGCAGTGTAAGGCACCAGTGTAGTAGGCAGCTGTGTGCAGGCTCGCTTAATATACGAGTGGAAGAGGGATGAAAAAAAGGCTTCCAACTGGAGCAAGAGCAGGCCAGGCCACACGTTCATACACGAAGTTAATGATCGTCAGAGGAGGAGGACGGGAGGATGTATTTTTAGAGTTTACTTCTCTCTTCCTGTGTACATCTCTCATACTCCAACTCCCCCCCTTGCTTATAGAAAGTAGCACACAGACAAAGCTGGGGCACTGTGTGTGTGTGTGTGTGTGTGTGCGTGTGTGTGTGTAAAGGCACTGAGATCATGAATGGCAGAGCTAGACAACTCTGGATAGAGACAGTGAAAGAAACAAAGATAATTATTTTTTAAGCCAAGTTTATGTTACAAAATATTTAAACCTTGGAAACAAATTCCTCCAAGATTCTAAAGTGGCACCTCCTTACATTCAGAGCTACAGGTGTCAGCTAACAAAATCATGATCAACTACAATTCGCCCTTCATGATGCACTCCGTGTATGACTACAGACTGTCACAAAGACTCACCTCAGCTATCTTTAAGGTAGAATTGTTAAAGTTTCTGGAGAAACCCCTACACCCTAGATTTTGAACTACACACAATCATCATTTTTAGGGATCCAACAATGTGTGTTTTTTCCTTTTTTGGCTCTACAGTCTATTTTCAGCTGTGTAAACCAGTTTCTGTAGCCTAATAGGGTCACTGTCATCATCAATCATCAGTCATCATGGAATTTCTTTGTAATAATTATCTAGATTTGGTTTTTTGCCAAGCCCTGATTCAAACTGCCTTTTTGTGTGATGATTTACAGGAAACAATGCATGTATATAATCCAGGATTCCCATTTATAATTTCATTTTACTCAACCATGTTAGAACTGTATTAACTTAAAACTAATGCATACCGAAGATTTCCTTCTGCTGCTGCTTCACATTAAACCAGATTAACCGGTGAAACACAAGGTCTTTTATTTTATAGGGGTCATCCAATGTACTTGCTACCATCATTAGTGCTGACAAATGACTGTTCATCAACAAAACAAGATGTGGACATTTTCCTGCATGTTTCTGACAGTAGGTCAGGTTTAAAATGGCAGGGAGAAATTCAACCAGAAGCAGCAGCCACAGGGATCTGTTAGATGAGCTGTAACTGACCAGCAGCAAATGAGCAGCATGGAATCAGACCACGGTTACTAATGGCATGATAGGAAACGGCAGACTACTGACTGATGTCTTTATTAAAACAACATGAATTTATATGGCTGCACTATAAACACATATGCCAGTTGGTCTTATAGTATGTTGTATTTCTATAACAAGGTAACCACACTTGCTGTTACTGCCGGTAACAAGCAAATCAACAGAGTTCGACATCACATGGATCTGTGTCAGTGAGCTCATGAGTAGACACCTGGCAAAATGCGTTACATTTCTCAACTGGGTGCCTTCTCAACACCACATGTATACACAGCATTTAAAAGAATTTGATATAGTCCACAGACAATATATGAATGCACAGAACAAAACAAAAGATAACCAATGGCTCTACTGTTAAAATGCTGGTAACACACTTCACATAACAGGCTAAACCAAGGCAGTTTCAAATCTTATGGTTCAATACTTTATCATATTCTGAGCTTCGACTTCTCTGCTTCTTGCTGGAAACATATTTATCAGAATGTGTCAGAATCTGAATATGAATTGAGTGAGTCACCAGAGGCTACAGCGAGCTGTACCTGCCCACGTACAGCAGAGGGGAGAGAGAAAAACATCACCTGCTCCATCTCTCACTGTACCAGCAGTGGGCGAGCTGATCACATTTAAAGATACACATTTATTTGCAAGACTTTTTTGGAGAGCCCTACAGACGTCCATAGGTCATCATGACTCATTGCATTCTAAACACTGAGGAAACAAATGCCATATTTAGCCACCAAATGCAATCAACCTGCTGGGAGTCTATTCAACAGACATCGAGTGTAATTTATAACAAACAGAGGTACAATAGAGGTAGGATGCTCATGCTCAAAGTCAAGGGTGAAATCAGATAAAAGCAGTATGGGCCAAAAGACTAAAAACCTAAAAGCCTAAAACACTGGATCCTACAATTCCAGTAATGCAATTCCAGCAGGCAATGTCTTTCATTACTCTCCCTGCCTGTTAAATGCACATGACTTTTAAACTCTACATCTCTACAATTTGTAGTCTACAAGCCCAAACTAAGATAATCCTGATGACATCACAGCCTCCTCCAAAGCCACAGAAAATGATATGCAATGGTTTAAAATCTATGGGATGCTCCTTTAAGTACTGTCCAAAATGACATCTGACCTGAAAAAAAACAAACAAAAAAACAAAACAAAACAAAAAAAAAACACTGGCTGTTCCAAAACACACATCAACCCCCAAACCCAGGCATCACTACATCAACTTCTACAATATTAAAAAGTTCAAACACCATATGAGGAATAACACAGCAATGTCTGGAGAGAAATGTAAACATGAGTCACAGCATTCTGCCAACAGCTCTACCTGCCCACAGACTACACATAGACAGAGGGACAGCGATGATACACTGGTAAAAATGAGCAAATTAACTATGGCACATTGGATGACAGAGTGGGAGGAGGAGAAAGAAGAGAAGGATGAAAGAGGTTTGAATAAAGATTATGACCACTGATGGACAGAAAGGCAACACAAACGTCTGGTGTAAGAAAACAGCCCGGCTACAAACAGAATAATATCTAAAATCATGTGCACACTCTCGTTGATTAGAGATTGCCCAATCAAATCCATCTATCAAAAGCATTTTCATTCTAAAAATACACTGAATATATGGGTTTTTATAGAGTTGCTATTAAAAGTATCCAGCTCAGATAATTCTGGAAAGCAAACTGGTGCAAAATTGTTTAAAAAAAGACTATTTAGTGTTATAATATAATGTAAATTGTAATCTACAATAAATACCCATTTCAAATATTTACTGTACTATAATGGTCTATATGGGACAATGTTCAGTGATTTTAAAAAACATCAGGGTACAAGTTGTGAGGAGCATTTACATCTGTGCACAAGTTAAACATTAATACTATTTAATTACTAAGTACTACTGCCATTATCTTCTTTCACTTGATCACTAATGTACATTTTTCAGGACAACTGCAAATTTTGGAGTTCCGCAAAATTCTAGTTTAAAAAGGAGAATTGGTGGTTTTAACACCACACACTTCATATCCGATAAAGGAGCATTTCAGCCCACAAAAAAAAAACCTCAGTGAAGGATGTCCTCACTCATAACTGCCCAGGTAGCCTCCCAGCTCCTCTCTCCTTAGAGCACGAATAAGTTTTGAGACGGCCTCCAAGATCACAGAGCGGAACGACTTCTGATTTAAGGGAGGAGCAATAAATGATTAAATAAGAGAATTGGGATTCACCCATTATGTACCCACTCCTCCAGTCGCTGTTCCCTTTTTCCTGTGCCTATTTTTTAATATGCTGGGAGAGAGGCTTCTCACAGAATTTCAGGGTGTAGTTACCTTTAAAGGTACACACTTGTTTATGTGATTACAGGTTATACAGGTATGGGTGCTTTTGATCCCCTCCTTGAACCGCCACATTACTGTGGTGGAGGGGTTTGAGTACCCGAGTGATCCTAGGAGCTATGTTGTCGGGGG